AGGGCCCAGCCGGGGCGGACGCAAGAACCCTTGCCCGCTCCCGGGGCTTCGCAGATATTGGCCGACCCGACGCGCGGGGTAGGAACCAGTCCCTGCGGGCTTGTGGGCGCGTCCTCTTCGCCCGATCGGTACAGTGGGAGGGCGTTATTGCTGCCTGGGCTCCGGGTGGGGGAACAGCAGTTGTCTTTCGTCTCCTTCCCACCTCCTGATCCCCGCTTCCCCGCTGCTAGTGGCAGTAAACTTCTCGGCAAGAAAATCTTCCTTTTTAAGAGAAAACCTACAACGGAGTGTCTTGCTGTTGATATTTGCATCCTTATGTGCCTGATATTCTTCCTCCTTTATTTACCCCTGCTTAAAATTTTCTAGACATTTAAACGGCTCGGAAAAGAGCATCTATTTCCCCTGGATTTTTGCGGTAGTAACTGCTGCCTTTTTTTTTTTTTTGAAGATTTTGGAAGCAGGCAAGGGAAGAAGATGTGATCTGTCTCTCTTCTGCAGAAAAAGAGGCTCTTCTTCCCCTTCCCGCTAAGGTAGGTTTGCGATCCTTGTCGCTGTCCTTTTTCGCTGCAGGAAAGACGGGGGTGTCGATCTGTGAGTGCGTGCGTAGGAAGGTTGGAAGCGTGTGTCGACAGGCAGGGCTCTTTGTTGCTTACTCCTTTGAAAATGGCAGGGCTGAACTTTGAATGTTAGTCTGGGAGGATAATTTTGGGGTTTATTGTTGCTCTTGGATCCTTTAAGAAACATTCATTGTGTCTTTCTCTGTTGATTGTGCATTGTCTTTGCAGAAAGAACCTTGTCCGTTGCCCTTTTTCTACTCAAGCAGCCAAAGATTCTTAATCTTTCAACGAGGAACATTTTCAAATAATAAGAGATACTTACTGAGAGGACACGTTAGCTGCTTTTGCTGGGGTTTCTGCTACCACATTGAATGCTTCCTGAATGGTTTTATCTGCCTAAGTTTGCTGTGTCGGTTGAATTTACCCATTTTGCTTTCCGGTGGTTATTAATCTGTCAGGAGAAACTCCTTTTCTCTGAATGAAGGGGTAGAGGCAGCTGAGTGTGTCATAGAGGGGAGGAGAAATGTGGAGAAGGAAACTCGAAGTGGGAATAAGAGCGGTGACGATTGCTTTTGGTTTCATAATAGGTTTATACAAGTGAGTTGCAGGAGTATTTGCAAATACTCTGATATAACACCCAACAGATGTGAAGACGAATAATCAACCTTTGGTCTCCATTTCGGTACCCCCTTCACCTTTTACCGTTTTGGATGTGAGAATTACTTGTCTGCAGGTGCACCTATCCTGTTAGCGTGTAACGTATCTGCGAACTGGATGTGTCCAGCATTTGCCTTAACAGTACATATATTTACCTGTACAGGAAAGCTATAGTAGTTGCTGACTAGTTAAGCACGTAATGCTTATTTTTGCTCTAATTGAATGTCCTATGTTTGGAGTTTTACTGTGTTTTAGGGACCTGTTAAGGAATAGTTTGTTTCATTGACTGCTTTTTCCCTAGTGATTTGAGACAGGTGTCTCAGTTTGGGCACATGATCTTTTCTCTGCTTCACCTGGCTGTTGCTGAAAGGTGAGATGCTTTTGAGGCAGAGTAGAAAAGGACATGGGCTTTGGGGTCAGTTCTGGGTTTGAATTCTGGTGTTGCTGGCACTTAATAGTGGTATTTTGTAAAATATCTTTGAGCTTCACTTTCTTACAAGATTGTTGTGAGGATTGAGTAAGATTATGCATGCGAAGAAGTACATTGCTTGGCTATTGTGAAAAGCATGGCTACTCTCATGGCAGGGCAGGCAAAGGATAGTCAAGAGAAGGGCAGAATGATTCTGCCAGTCACCAGTGTTTTTTTTTTTTCCTTTTTGGTATAAGGAGAGAAGGGACTTTTATGTCTTGAACTGGTTAAGGTGTCTTAGAGCCTTTTTATAGAAAGAGTACCTCTCCCCCCAACTCTCTCCCTACCCCACCATCTGTGCTGCTCCTGCCAACTATTGTGCTGCCCTCTTGTGGTTAACCGTGCTAATAAGAACTTTCTTTAGCTCCTCTCACTACTTTTTTTTTCTTCTCTTTTTAGGCCCCTTCCCTTGGCTCCCAGTTTCTCAAACCGTATGCTGAAGTGCCCCAGAACGCCACTGAACTCAGGCTTGAACTAATAGTTTGAGGTAGTTCAGTTTCAACATTAGATTGACACATTCATGTTTACAATGTCAGGTTTTTGCAAGCTGTGTTTTTTGGAGGTTGCTCTGATAAAAGGCAACTCCTATATGAAAATCATTGTGACACAGGATATGAGAGTGATGTTATCCAATTTGATTCCAGGTTTGAGAAGCTGTACATTGCCCATCGAGCACTAAGTTAACACTTTGTTAAGTGGTTTGAACCCACCTACCTAAGTGTTCCTTTTGGCCTGGGGTCCTGTGAAAAAATTAGGAAGACTAAGGATTCTCTAAGTAGAGAAAATTTGGAAGCCTCTGCCTTAGCTTTTGGTTTGCTTTAATGATAAATTTGTTTTTTTTTTTAATGAAAAAACCATTTTTTAATGTTGGTCACTAATTGATTCCCTTTCCCTCTAAAATTATTGGTACAGTTACTGATTCAAAGCTAGTACCAGCTGATCATAGCTTAATATATTTAGTCTCCTATGTAATATCTTTATAGCTTCTGCCCAGTTTTTTTCATTTTAAACTAATCCTATTGCTTGTCATTCTAGTTACTTCCTGATTTTTCCAGTCTTGGTTTTCTACTAGTATTTTTGACCATCTCCTTAAACTCAGCATGCCCCAAAAGAAAATCATCATTTTATACCCTTTTGTAATTTCCTTCTCTTCTGGTCATACAGGCTTTAAATTAGGCATCTTTAAACCACCTCTTTCATTTACCACATAAATTAATCAATCCAATATGTCCTGCTCATATTTCTTTTGTCATTCATATCTGTTTTACCGCTTGAATCCCAGGACTCTTTTCCTTAGCCTAGAATATTAAGAATCATATTAACCTCTTAGGATCTAGCAGCTCTTTCTTCTATTTATTCTCAATAGAAATGTCCCTCCAGTACTCCCCAGTGTGGCGTTCTCTTGCCTCTAAATCTTCAGTGACTTCCCACTTTACACTTGATAAGTTTAAGTTGCTTTTCTTGGCTTTCAAGATACTGTATCATTCATCTCTGCCACATTTATTTAGTCGTTCGTCTTACTTAGGACGCTCAGCACGCATTCTCAGCTCTTGTATTACAAGCTGCTTTCTGTACTGTCTAATAACAGCTATGCTTATTCTGTTTTTTAACTTTCATACATGTTTTTCATCCCCCTACACCAAGCCCATTTCTACATCCTATTGCACTACATTAATCACTCCTGGATATAAAATAAGTTTCTTATATAACAAACTATTATTATATAAAGCTTCTTATATAATCTGATGATAATAACTATTTATTACCACTACTGTTATTCTACTGTTACTATTACTGTACTATTAGTTAAAATTTCACCTCGTTTGTGAAGCTGTTTCTCACCAAATACTGCTTTTTTTCTCTCTATAGCTCTATAGTTCTTTTAGTGTTAAAATTTCTTTACATGGGTTGATTATATACCATTCTTTGGTTGTTCAATACTTATTTCCCTAGTGTTAGCCATATCTCTTCAAGTTGATTGTGTATGCCTTGAGAAACAATACCTAGATTAAAAAACACACACAATACTGAGCACTTGGGGAGCAGTCAATAAATGCTGTGTATTAAAAAAGAATTTTAGGCAGTAACCAGACAAATATTTGTTTATTTGCTTATTATTTGTTACCTACAATGTAAAGGTACTTTGCAGTATCCAAAAGAGATGCAGAAAAATGTAAAATAGGTTCCTTCCCTTGAAGACTTAAAATGTAATTGAGGAGATAAGGTAAATAATAACATTTATAGATATCTGAGACCACATAGAGTTGAAATCAGCAGAGGAGGTAGAAGCAAAACTGGGCAGAGTTTGATTTTACATAAGCGGAGGGAGCTTGTATAGGAGGTAAGCAAAGGCAAAATACGCACTACAGATTCAAAGAACAGTACGTGAACAGCTTGACTGAAATGAAAGTTTGTGTGGGAGAATAGTAAGAAATCAGGTTGAATATGAACACTGGAATTATATTATGGATGGCTTTAAGTGCTAGGATGAGAAGAATTTACTTTGTTCCTTAAGTAACAGAGAAGCTTTAAAAGGTTTGGATTGAGAAAGAACTTGATAAAAAGTATTTTAGGAAAATCACAGTGGCGCCAGTCGTGGGTAGAGTATGAACTGGAAAGAAGTGTTAGAGCTAGGAAAAGAGTCGAGGCCTGAGGTAATGAGGATTTGGATTTAGTGAAGGTAAGACTGGAGAGATGTCACACAAGATTTCATTATGGGCTGGGTGAGAAAGGAGGATGTAGTTGGGGAGGAAGAGGAGTAATAAAAGATGACTTTGAACTTCTGATTTTTAGTGACAGAGGAAATCAAAGAATGTTGAAACTAAGACATCTCAGAACATCTGGGCCACTCTAAACATTTTATGCATTAGGAAACTCAGAGAGATTTAAAAGTGTGGCCAAAGTTACTCACCTAGCTGGTGCCAAAAAAGAACTAGGGTTTTAATAATGACAGTACTGGCAGAAATAGGTATGAAAGTATTAGTATCTAATTGAGAGGATACAGGTAATTGGGCTTATTAAATTTTGGATATGTTGGGTTTGAAGTGACAGTGCGGCCAGGCAAGTGAAAATAGCTAGATACTGGGACAATATGACTAGAACTTATTAGAGAAATTTAAGGCTGAGATTGTTGTGCCTTAACAGAGAGAAGAGCAGTGGATCTGAGATTGGGCCGTGAGAATATAATTAGAGAGTGGGTGAAAAGAGGAATTGGCAAAGGAGACAAAGAAGGAGCATTTAGTATGAAAGGCAAGTGGGTAGGTAGGTTAAGAAGATGGGAGGGATTAACAAGTTGATCATTGTTGATTACTGCCAGGAAATGAGAAGAATTAGAATTGAAAAAGGTCTTAAAAATGTATACTGGTGTTTTTCCTGATATAAAATCTATAAAAGGAGAAGAGAGAAAAAAATTGCTTACATGCAGAAATTTCCCTACTGCTAATATTTTGTTCTTTCTAGTATAACAGACAACCTTTGAATATGACTTTTGGTTGATTGATGGAGATTTCTGTTAAAGCTCCATCACTGGGATTAACGATGAGAATTTTAGGCATAATAAAGAGTGGGAGATATTTTTTGAAAGAGTGTCATTCATCTGTGTCCTTTCATATCACATGACCCAGCTACTGCTATTCCTTATGGATATTAGCCCTGCATTTGTATTATTTGAATTAGTAGACATTCAGTGGTTACCATTAGACATTCAGTAGTCTGTCCAGTTAGACAAATGACCTCTGGGTACTATTGCACTGGTAAGATGGGAATAAAATAATAAGGTATTAACTGCTTAAAGGAAAGAGAAATTCTTGGTAGATAACTTATAAAACTGAAGGTAGCATGATTAAGA